ACAGGCTACAAAAAAAAAAAAACAACTGAAAGAGGCGGCATTTGCTGCTTTAAAGGCCTGCTTGGGAGTTTCACTGTACCGGTTATGAGCTTATTTTAACGTAGCGGTTCCAAGCATTTATGAGCGGAGCGATTTAGTAGCGTTTTTTAAAACTCTCCAACTCACGATTGGAGAGTTTTCTTTTATAAGATTGCGTAGATGCCCTTCGTAAAGTTTTCTTTTATATTAATTTGTTTTACTCATAAGTGATATTTTACTTATAGATTTTTTTTTCTTTTTTACATATAAGTTAAAATTTAATTTAAAAAATTAAATATTAAATTAAAATTTTAATTTAATATTTTTGCTTATAATTAATTTTGAACTATAATATAATTTTTCTTATCTTACAAGTAATATTTTACTTATAAGTATTTTTTATTATAATATAATTTTTATAAATTATATATATATTTTAGTTAATATATTTTAATTTAAAATTTTGTTTTGAACAAAATATATTGGATGGAAATAATTATTTTATAAAAGGTAAAATTAGAATAAAACAAGAGAAACGGCCAAAACCAGCCGATTTGGCAGGTTGGGAAAGCCACTCAAAAATGAACTACACCGTTTTTGAGTGTTTTTTAAACCACTCAAAACCAGTGCCCAAAAAAACTTGCAAACACCGGTTCTTCGAGGAAATCCCCCCCCAATGGTCAATGAACTTTGCCAAAATCTTTAGGAGGTCAGCGAACTTCAATTAGCCCCTAAATAGTCACTGAACTTTGCCGAAATCCCCCAAGAAGTCACCAAACTTTAAAATGTCCTTAAATGGTCATCGAACTTTGTCGAAGTCCCTCAAGAGGTCACTCAACTTTGCAAATTGAGACTCCATGCATGACTAGTTTAGTGACCTCTCAGGAGCTTTTGTAAAGTTCAGTGACCATTCAGGGACGTTTGAAGGTTCGGTAACCTCCTATGGGATTTTGGCAAAGTTCAATGACTATTTTGAGACTTATTGAAGTTCGATGACCTCCTAGAAGATTTTGGCAAAGTTCAGTGACCAATGGGGGGATTTCCTCTCGGTTGTTCCAACCTATCATAAATGGTACCCCACCCAAAACTGGTCAAAATTGGTGGAAAAAAAACTCCCAAGCAGGCCCTAAAAGGCAGCAAATTAAGAAAGAAGATATATATATATATATATAAAGGTAAAAAAGAGCCTTTTCGGCTTAGCTTGGAAAGCCTCGAGCCGAAATTTTTTGCCCGAGCAAAAGTTCTGCTCGGCTCGGAAAAAAGCTCGACCATTTTAATCGAGCCGAGCTCGAGCCTCGAGTTTTTGGCTCGGGCTCGGTTCGTTGACATCCCTAGGTCTGATTAGAATTTCGAGAGTTTTTAATGAGTTTATATTATTTATCATGAACTTCTGCGTCTACTTATGGTGAATCTGTAATTGGAAAAATCGTTTTTGCTGGTGTGGTCCCGTGGACATTATATACTCAAGATACTGACATCGAAGGTTCCGCCACTATGGTCAAAGACAAGGATGTTCTTCTCGCCACCTTTCTTATATAAACCGTACGCAATTGCTGCTGCTGTTGGTTCATTGATAATTCTTTCTACATTTAGCCCAGCAATTACACCAGCATCCTTAAAGGCCTGCCGCTGGGCATCGTTGAGGTATGCTGCCAGTTACAACCCAAAATAAAAAGTAATTATAATCAAATAATTCAATGCAATCACAGCTTACTGGGAACTGTTACCACAGCATCCTTAATTTTCTTCCCAAGAAATGCTTCTATTGTTTCCTTCATCTTAGTCAAAATCATAGCACTGATTTCCTCAGGACTGAAGACTTTAGTCTCCCCATCCTTAATTTTGACTTGGTTATATGGCTTTCCATCTTTGTTGACAATTTTGTAAAGAACGAGCTTCATATCCTTTTGAACTTCCTTGTTATCGAACCTGTCAAAAAATAATTTATGATTTTCATCAATAATTTATCACAAAAGCAGTGTACAACAAAAAATACATCAATACATTTAAATAAAAAGATTTGCTTTCTTTCCATGAGTCTTTTAACATCAAAGATAGTCCTTTCAGGGTTGACAGCCACCTGATTCTTTGTAGCTATGATTTCAACATGTCCATTCTTGTAAACACCAACATAGGAATAGGTAGTACCAAGGTCTATACCAATGACTGTTCCCAATTTGGTGGCCTCCTCCTTCGCAATAGAAATTGCTGATAGACAACCTGTTTGATAAGACAAGGTTAGTCAATTTAGTACTCATGAAATCATTTGGCGAATTAATAACAATTCAAACACCGAAGCCAAAGCAATCAAACCATAAGCCAAGGACGTATTGAGAAGCAGTAGCGTTATAACATAACAATTACTTGTTGACAACCATACATATCAATCTTTCCAGTTGGCATTTAGACAGTGAGACCACTTGGTTAATTCCATCTTCTAAAGTTTGTTTTTGGTTTGTTAACCATTTCATCTAAAAGCTCAAGTGGTTAGAAAATGGCCATACGTATTCGTATAAATCCTATATTCAGTGCCCCAATGTGTTTTTTTCCCATGAAAGTGAGACACGTGTACATTTTTTAATAAACAGGTCGCAACAACGTTAACTGGCTCATATAAAAGCGGAAGCTGGTAATTATTAAAAAGGGCCGTATGTTTCCATCATAAGTTGCACAACACTGCCTAAAATTGCATCATTTAGTTGAGCCTTTCCAGCACAATATTTTCTCTTTTAAATCTTGGGAAGTAGTAACTTTTATCAAATTCAGGGCATACTAGCATGAACAAACTTTCCAATTGAAGATAAAGAACCAGCTTCCAAATTGAGGAATAAATATAAATTCTTGACCATTGACAATGGTGTCTTTGAGGTTCTTTCCACGAATGGAGACACCCATCTTGGACGTACAGATATTTCTTGCTAATATATCCATCTTTGCATTTATTAGAAAATCAATATTTCGAAAATGACTGATATATTTCTGTAGCAAGTGGCAGTGTGTCATGCAGTTATAGGTCAAAAGTTCGAAACGTAATATATTCAAATACACCCCCCCTTGAACACATTGTCCTTTTATGATATAGCTGAGAAATCAATTTGATGTATGATCAATTCGGCAATCTGAAATATGTATTGATAACATATTAAGTTTCGATTTTATCTTTAAAAATTGTCCAACATATATTATTTTGCACTTCAAAAAGGAAGGCTTAGAACGATAATTTTGTGACTTATTGTTGGGTTTAATGATGCTGAAAGTTCATTTGTTGTGCAGGAGAGGATTTTGATCATAGAATTATCGAATACTTCATTAAGCTGATTAAGCTAAGATAACAGAGCTCTTGGTAAGCACCTACTTGATTCCCTTTACTTTACTTTACTCTAATATATTTTTCATACTTATTTTCAATCACATTCCCATGATAAAATATTCTATAACTAAATTCATAACTTTCTTCCTTTTTAAGATCACATTCTTCAAAAAATACTATTCAAAATTATGTTTTTTAAATTTTAAGATAATCAATTAGGAGCTCAATTTCTACCAAACATAGGTTTAATAATGTGAGATTTTATCCTCGACAATACTCCAAAACTCTTAGGGGCCGTTCTCTTGGTGTTTCAGTTTTTGAGTTTTGAATTCATTTTAAGTTTTTTTTTGTTTTCAGTGCCTGTTTTGAAATTGCTGAAAATGCATTCTTTTTGTGATTCTGAATACTGTTTCTAAAAACTAAAAATGGAAAACACGTTTACTTTGAAATTTTGAGAATATCTTTTTATAATATTTTATTCAAGCTTAACTTTTCTCTAGTTTTATTTTTTTACTTTTTTTTTCCTAACTCAGACTTGATTTATACCCTCACTTCAAATACATGATTTTTTCCACAGATTTTGTACAAGATGACTTCCTCTGATTTGCTGTGTGTCAGAAACTATTTTTGACAACAGTCAATTATAGGAAGACAACCCTATACTTATAGCATGTTTTTGCACTGCTCTTTCCTAAATTACGACGTTGAACTGAAGAAAATATAGGTTCATCGATCATTCATTATTTGTAACTAAACTGGACTAGAATAGGACGAAACTGAAACAGAAACAGAAACAGAAATAGAAACTGGCCAGCTTGACTGAACCAAACGAGTTTTCACTGAGAATATTCCAAATCGAGACCGTCCAGCTATCATGAAAACTGCACCATTGGAAAGGTAATCTTAATATCTCACCAATCACAATTGTCCTTAAATAAATTTCACTGGAAATATGAAATCTTTTGACAAAAGTAGACAGATACAAAGCAGTACTCGGAAGTGCAATTAATGTCCCAAGTTCTATCTGCTTTTGATTGAGAAATCATACATAAATGTGTCACATGCAAAAAGGAATAGTACTTCACAGTATTGAAAAGGAAAAAGAGCTAATGATCTTGTCCATTGTTCGGTCGAATCCTATCTAGTTATGTGTACCAAACATTTTCTCCGTTTAAATAGATGCCCATATTCTTCACAGATGGATAAGGAGCAGAGAGTATTGGTTTTACACTTGTGTACTTGTAAGACATCTCCACTGCTCCACACGAGGTCCCCTGTCCATTAGCATGAGCAAGCCTGCATTGTTGCCCGATAACCCGAATTTATATCTAAAATCATAAGAAAGAATTATTGTATTTAGGTATATTTTCTTCATTGGCTTCAGAAAAGAACTTGATAATTACAAGAAGACAAAATGATGGCCTAATTTAGGCATAAATTATCAGATCAATAAATGTCTATCCTGCATAAAATCCTCTTATTCAGTTTTTTCTCCCAATACTCAAGAGACAGGTATATTGGTCCAGGTTTGCATATCTATCCACATATCTGAGTACCCTTGGCACGGGATGCCATAGTTCCGGGGTCAAAAATTATACTACTCCCCTCTCATAGTACTAAAGTACAAATTGTTATACTCAAATGCTGCAAATCAGTGTCTAAAGTAAACAGTAACCAGAACCCACAGAGAGAACAACACATCTACATGTTTTATCAATTCCTTGAACCACAGCAGGCATTTTGCATATTTCCAATCAAGAGTTTCATTCAAAATAATGGTTTTTCCACAAAATAGGATAGAATTTATGAATTCCATCAACTCCAATAACCTTACCCATCACTCAGATCGATGTCATAATTTATATTAAACTTAAAGCATATTCACGAAACCCATGTATGGATCTCCAGCAGAAAAAATGTCCCAAAAATCACAACAGTGTTCTAACAATAACTCAGCTAAACCAAACTCACAATTAAAAATAAATTCATATTTTGCAACATAGTCAACAAACTCACAATAGGAAGATAACACAATCAAGAAATCAAAGGTCCAAAAGATAAAAGATAAAAGTTAAAAAATCACAAACCCAAAAAAAATAAAAAGATTCAGATCAGAATCAAAATCAGAATCCCAATTGTGAAATTACAAAGAAGGAGTGAATCTGAGCTTACAGATTGAGGATAAATCATTCTACAGATTAGTATGTTCGAAAAGGCAAATATTTTAAAAGGAGTATAGCTGGCTGAACTGCAAAATTAACCAAAAAAACGGAGAATATAGGGGCAAGCATACATTGAATCTAGTTACAAATATTTTCAGACGCTGTACGTTTCATTCTTGTTGTCTCTCTCTCTCTCTGTAATTGAAACGTCTTACTCATTGCAGGTTCCACAATTTTGACCTTTTTTTGCTGCTTCAAATAAATGTTTAACAATCACTTTTCTTTCCATCAACTTTCCCTTTTGATGACCCCGTAGAAAACAAAGTCCAAAAGCATTCTGAATTCAGAATCCTAGCTAGCCTAATTGCAGAGACTCTTTAAAGAAACAAACACAGAAATATTTATGGGTTTTTGTTCTGTCCCTCTCTAGAGAAAAATGGATGACAATAAAGGAGAAACTACCAAGAAAATACAGCATTTATCGACTTCTCCGAATGACCCAAATCAAGAATCATCAGAAACCATGGATATGATACTAACATTTTATTATTCTTATAGATCTAGCAAAATGATCCCATTATACTCTTGAATGTGTTATGGTTGGAGTTCAACTTCAACCAAAACCAATTAATTTCCAACCAAATTCAACCAATAATGAGCAATTATAAAATCAAGATGCAAAGTACAGATTGTAATTACTCAAATTGAAGGAATATAAACTGAAATTACAAACTAGAACCAGTTTATGTCCAACCAAAATCAACCATTCATTCCCTTAATTGATGTTTCCATTACAATGCAGGGCTTACAAGTAAAAAACAAAATACAAAAGAGAAATAGATAGACCTGCAGAGGATGAAAAGACAGAGACTTGGAAGACAGATTTATAGAAGGAAGAAGAGAAGAAGGAGAAATGAGAAAAATAGAAGAAAGCAGGAGAAATAGAGAAGCAGGAGGAGAAGAGAAGAATACCAGAGAAAGAGAGACGCCGAGAAGAACACAACAGCAGAGAAACAGGAAGAAGAATGGTAGAGGAAGGGGGAAGACGAACGACAGCAGCCAATTTCAATTCAACACTCGACCCTTCTTCATTGTCTTCCAACAACCCTAGAGCAAAATAATAACCAAAAAGGGCTTGGGCTAGCCCACCATACAAGCCCAACTAGATAAATAAAAATAAATTGAGTGAGCCCATGACAGAATGCTTTAAAAACCAAGGAAAAAAAATTCAAATCTGAGAAAATAACACCAAAGAAATACCTAGATTTGAGGATGAGCCTTCGATTGAGCCTTTGATTCTTCAATCTGCCACAATAAAGGAATGGGAAGGCAGAGCAAACCCTAGAGAACAACTGCTCTAGATAATCTTACATGAGAGAGAGGATATGTGAGAGAGAGAAGCTTTTACTTACAGGAAGCTCATCACTTACGGGATAGAGATCTGTCCGTTTTTCGTGTTTTCATCTGTTCTCGTGTTTTGGCCTGAAAACAGTCAAAACGTCTTTTTAGACGTTTTGAGTTTTCAAGGCAATTTTTTTTTTGTTTTCAAAAATTCGTTTTCGAAAATGAAAAAGAGAACGCGTTTTCACTGTTTTGAAAAATTGAAAACAAAAAACGGCTCGAAAATGACAAAGAGAACAAACCCTAGCTTTCAGTTGATTAACAAGATCAACATCATGCAAGTTCCAAGTTAATGTAGAGACATGATACCTCATGTTTTGGTTTTCTCAATGAATAATGCTATCTAACATTATTGGTGTTAGCATACCAGTTTAGGTGTCGTAATGTGACAAATTCAATTAAAGGTGAAATTATTTGATATATTTAATTGAGCCTATCATGTAATGTCATTTAAATAGATATTGTAATATAAATGGTACTAAATAGCATTATTCTTTCTCAATTGTTTTTGTGAACATTTTTCTTCCTTACATTTGTAACAACTCGTGATATTTGTCCAATTGACTACCTATCATAAGCCATTCCACTTATAAATGAAGATGGGCAATGGTTGAGACTACAAGTTAAACAAGTAAATAGCATCATTGAGAATGTAAGAATGAATGAAAACTTAGTTTTCACAATCCCCTTTATTTCTTCATTAAGCATCCAAATGGTTGAGAATCGTCTCTGATGGTTGTATTCAGCCATGCAAGCAACGAAATATTTATAAGGGGTAGGCTACAAGTATTAAAGTAAACAAATAGCCTTAAGGCGCTTCCAAACTCACTTGGTCAAACAACTAGGGCTGGACATGGTCCAATTCGGTTCGGCTCTCGTTAGAACAGAACCGGCTCGGAATTTTTGGGTGTTTAGTAAATGGACTTGTCGGGTCCAAATTTAATTTTAGAACCGTTCGAATTCGGTTCATTTCCATTCAGTTCCCAAGTTCCGTACTATAATTAATTTTTTTAATATTTACAAAGTTACATTAATTCAACTAATGGCATATTTAATCTTAACTCTTACAAAATAACATAGTTCAATCTTAACTCTTTGTTGAGTTCTTCATAAATTTGATTGTTAAAATCACAGAAAGAGAAAGATAGCAAGCTCACAATAATTAAGAGAAACGCTGTTGAGGCTCAATTCAATTTATCCAGAACAGTAAAAAGAGCACTACAGTAGAATAACAGATTTTGGTAAAAGGTAGGTTAATTTGATTAAGTTGGACTTGGACTGAAAATTAGAAATAAGAAAATCTTATTTTTGAGTTTGAGCTAAATTAACTAGTTAGTAAATTTATTTAGAAAAAAATAAAATAATTTGACTTTATTTAAAATAAATAAAATTTAAAAATTAGGGAGATTCGATTATTCAATTCTTGACCTAGAACCGAAAATCGAACCGAATCCGTCGGTTCTCGATTTAGATACCCGTTCTCGGGTATTTAACTTAAGAAAAATCACTCAGTTCGAGTTGGGTTCGGCTAGTTCGATTCAGGAGTTTTGTCCAACCCTACAAACAACGTTTGATAAAGAGAAGGCCACACAAAGCAAAAGGGTATTCGTACTCTTATTTCAGAAACCGAACCATTATAGATAAGAAAATGGCAGACATTAATATAATATGCAAGTAAATTATTATTCCTGTTCTGTATTATAATAGATAAATTCAACATGAAAAGCATGGAAAAGAAGACAGTAAATTATCCATGTATGCCACGAGATACTTGTTCCAAGTTTGAGTGGGAACCTAAAATCCAGCTCGTGGATTGTTGGAACCTGCTGCCACAACACCCATACCACCATCTGAATTAACATCGGCATTTTCCTGGTTAGTTGACTTTGTAATAGTGACTTTATCACCATTTAGATTGTCTACAAATTCATCAATCTTGCGGAATTGATATGGCCACCTTGCATTGTACAGCAATTGGCGTAGATCAAACCTATTGTCTTCTGGCGAATAACTCTGCAAATGCGTGTAATCTTTCTTTGTTTAGCTATTACATAATTAAACTTTCGCATGGTCAAAATCGAAAATGCACAATATTTTAGACTCGATAATCTTTGACTAAGGTTAAACTGTTTAATTATAACTGAATATGAAAGTTCTAAAAAAATATTTTTTTTATTGGTCAAAACGGACAATGCGTAAATTACTTATTTTGAAAGAAATGTAAGAGTTACTTTCAAAATAAACAACATTTTTAGTTAGAAATAAGAAAAACATGTTCCTATATAAAGTTATGAAAAAGATGCACATACTTTTCTCAAGCTTAACCAAACATGCTCTTTTAGGCTTGCAAATAGTACCTCTGCGTGATAGGAAGGTGTTAAGACTGCCATTTTATGTCTATTGATGGAATAGTACTTGGAGAAATGCTTCACTTTCTCAGCAACTTCTGCTGGAGTCAATTTTGCACCCCATCTATAACAAAGATTCTGCCAGGAAAACGAAATAATGAAAAATTATACATATACCACAAAAATTCTGCCATACCGTGTCATTTAATTACATTGACCACAATAAATATTCCAAGCAATCTGACAGTTGAGTACTACAAGGAAATTAAATTTGCAGATAAGGTTCCTATCCACGAACAAAATAGACTACTTAGAATATTGGAAATCAAGACATCCGTCCATTCACCACATGTTTGCCGTTGGCTTAAAAGTCATATGTGGGGCATAAATGTATTTTTCTTATTACATAAAAGAAATTTTAGGGTACTGACAGCCTGAGGCAATTGAGCTATTGCACAAGAGGCAAAAATGAAGTTGGGGCAATGGAAAGCTAACTTATTGAAAGTCTCTTACAGTTAAGATATTAGACACGAACCTTAAACATCGATACAGGACCACAGCGGAAAATCTTACGCATCCTTCCATATACTGAGAGTTCCTCGTAGGTCATTCCCATGTCAACTTCATCCAACTACGTTCAAACAGAAAAAAACAATCAGACTTACACAAATTCACATTCTACATAAAACTTTCGTGCTGCCAATGTCAAAATGTAGGACAAGCTATGAATTTTTTTCGATGGTGCTGAAGTTGAAATATGGCAGCCAGATGACCCACAAAAAACTTTTTTTTCGATGGTGCCAATGTCAAACTAAATAAAACTTTCGTGCTGCCAATGTCAAAATGTAGGACAAGCTATGAATTTTTTTCGATGGTGCTGAAGTTGAAATATAGCAGCCAGATGACCCACAAAAGGATTTCTAAGGACAGAACAAGCACCCCCTTAGCCAAGAATATCATGAGCTATGATGACCAGATGGGGGAACGATACAAAAAAGAATATAGAGTCCTTCAAAAGCATGCTTTGAAAGGGAAAAGTACGTCAACTCAAAAAATAGCAAGTCGTAAGCCAGGTTTTAATAAATACCTGGCTGTAGTTGGAACGTATAGGCTCCAATTCAGCAGTAGGAGGAGCAGCTTCAACTTCTGCCAATGATGAATAACCAAGATGGATAGCAGCCCATTTCAAAAATATTCGAAGATCCTGCTTGCTGATACTTCCAATTGGATTTATATCAGCAGCACTGCAATCATACTGCATTTAATAGGTAAACAACTTATTAGAATGAGATTAATCATATCATTGTTAAACATTGCTATCAATGCACAATGTTAGTCATATTCATAAACATGATTATGAATCAAGTTAGCCAGCTAAAACTAGATCCAGAATTGCACAATGCAAAGGCCTGCCCCATATACCCCTTGCCAGATACAATTTTGCCTCCATTTTGGAAGAATTTACAAACGGATTAATTTATAAATGGATAAGAAATAAGTGGTGAATAAGTGGATAGTACTTGTGGGCCATTGGAATGTCTTGTTGAAAATGAAGTTTGACCATTTATAAATGATTTAATATTGCCAAACAGGGGCTTCATTTCTTGATTCTGATTGATGCTTAATTGTTTCTTTTTTTCATAAACTGGCTAAATTAAGTCCAAATAAGTTCAATGCTCGCAACCCAAAAATTTCTCTTGGCGGCAAGTAAGATCTGAAGTACCTTTGTTAGGTAGCCACGTAAGCCTTCATCCACATTGGAGCTACCCAAGACCAGATAAAAACCAGGTTTGTTGTGAACCCAAGGCAAAAGTGATGCTAGCATGAATGCTATGACCATTCTGATGCGAGCCTGTATGTTTTGCAATCCCAAGTTTTCAATATTGGATCCTCCATCTACCTGTGGAGAAAATTAATGACCAGCCATGAAAACTAAAAATTGTAGAGGTCCATGCACACAAAATATATACATTTTATCCTCTACCTTGTAACGCAGTCGCTTTCCAGTAAGTGTTTGAAACAAAGAGAGCAGAGAAGAAACTACTCCATCTATAGAAACATCAAGGTGCCATGACCCAATTTCATCAGCCAGCACCTTTGCCCTGGTTCTTGTGACATCAGAGCTATAAGAGAGAATATATCATTGGTTGATTGTCCAGTATATAATCTAATTCTTAACTTTAATGTAACAATAACAAGGAGGATGAGATCATTAGTGTCTTAAACCTCCGGTACTGTTCAAACTAAAGTGACTCTTCTCTAAAAAATTTAATATGTTAAGCATTTCATAGTGTGGTAAAAGTTAGACTATTAATTCTGCCCATTTGTCCTTACCTATTTTCAGATCCCATAAAAATTGTGTAGAATATGCGTTTAGCAAATTCTTTGCTGTCAGTTGGAAATTGTCCACCAGTGTAATGGCCGATTCGTATAGCATCAGCTTTGACCTGTTCATCTCCATTGGTGATTTCTGCACGTTGCATATCAGTGGAGTGTAAACAAAACATGACATGCAGAATATGTTAACTAATAGGTATGAATGTTTCAGGCAATTTGCAGTAGGAAAGTAATACTCGTCAAACTACTTTTAATTATACAAATCTCACTCTTGAAATTGGAGTCATTTTTTGGAAGATTTTCAAGAAACACAACAATGTCAAAGTATTGGAAAACAGCGGTACTCAACTGAACACTGTTCATCTTTAACTATTCAAACACTAATTTAGCCATTTTAAAATGTATGGAAAAATAATGAAATACTATAATTTTTCTCTAATCAATGTGCATTCTGTCCTCTTTAAGAGAAACTAATTAAATATTTGGAACTTATCAGGTAATACTTTCAAAGTTGCAGCCAAGCAGGAGATTAAACTTGAATATAAATAGTTCTATTCAGCGACACATAAAGATGTACTAAAATTATACCTGTCGTTGGTCTGTTTAACAAAAATATCACATTTTTCCTTTTTCAATTAGAAACGGTAAGAGTAGTGGACAGCTAGTTATCAATCCAATGACTTGCAAAATAGCCAGTGATAATCATAAATTGCTCTTTCAAGTGAACAAAAATATGCATTCACCCAAATCAAGCCCTTAACAACTCTATGAGCTTCCAGTCATGCATTGCTGAACCTTATTGCGAATACAACCTATTTAGCCTCCGGCCTTTTGATAATGTGAATACTGTTTAAGAGAATAAGTTCAAGAGCGATGAGTGTTAAAGGGACACTATTATACAATCATCTCATTCATGCACACAAGTGTTGAAATCACTAAAGAAAACTTACGGAACAAAGCACATCACTCATCAAAAGCTTGATCCTTGGAGCATAGACGGTTAAAGAAACTAGAAGCCAAAACTAACCTTTTACAACAAGCTGACACATGCAACCAACTATAGCAGCAACAGAGGAGCTATCGGCCCCACCTGAAAGTGGAAGCAAAAAACCAGATGCACCACTTCTAGCCTCCGGCCTTTTGATAATGTGAATACTGTTTAAGAGAATAAGTTCAAGATAAGTGACGAGTGTTAAAGGGACATTATTATACAATCATCTTATTCATGTACATAAGTGTTGAAATCATTAAAGAAAACATACAGAACAAAGCACATCACTCATCAAAAGCTTGATCCTTGGTGCATAGACAGTTAAAGAAGCTAGAAGACAAACTAACCTTTTACAACAAGCTGGCACATGCAACCAACTATAGCAGCAACAGAGGAGCTATCGGCCCCACCTGAAAGTGGAAGCAAAAAACCAGATGCACCACTTCGTCTTAAATAATCCCATAACCAGCAACCAGGTCCATAAGCTATTTCCTCTACAGGAGAATGATACTGAATCTGCATAGGAGAAATAAGATTTAGCATTGCAAGGTTGCCAGAATGAAGCTATGAGAAAAAGAATGAAATTATCTTAGAACGCCACAAGATCGATTGAATGATGCCACACTTCAGCAGAATAATGCCACATCCTGCCCATTCCCTTTATAAGTGCCAAAAGTGCCCTGTAAACATATTTTCATTTCCACGGTTCTCTCTACCTCCCATCACCCCTAATCTAAGGTGCGTGGAAACATGACATGACACGCCGACAATTGATTTTTCGAAAATGTAGGTCATGAAAACATCAGGGACGTGTGGATTTTAATTCTCCAAAGTTTTAAATTCACATTTTATATCTTTATTTTCAAAATTTTTGATATAGGACATGACATGTTATGTCAAACACTTGCCCGAAGGGTGTCTCTAATGTATCCCTCGAGTATTGACAATTTAAAAAATATATAAAAAAACTTGGACATGATACGTGGCTTGTTAGATACATGTCTTTCAGTGTCAAGGTCTGACACGACTTGGCACGACACGTGTTTCCACCCTAATAAAAGTGTCCATGCATCATAGCTCCTTACCGACGTCCCAACCCTCCTAATATGGGAGGAAATTTTCAAAAAATTAGTGTTTTTCTATCTTTCTTTAAATATACATTCACCCCAAAAAGTGGAATAATTGCAAATTTAATATTGGATCCTTCATGTAAGGTATCTAGCTTTATCCTCTCCAACGAGAAGCATATGCATGAGGCAATTAAAACACCCTCCTAAAAGTCTGTGTTTTATTTCTTTTGATTTCAACCATGGTAGCATCATACGAGCTCACCTTAAGTGGACTTGAGAGTGACATTTGGAGATTAAAAGACTGGCAAAGTTTGTAAGGTACTGCTACTGAGGATACTCTTGGTTTGCAGCTTGCTTGTTCTTGAAAGCTACTTATAGATCCTCTAAGACTAGCAACCTGCCATCAGATGAAGAATCAAAAACCAGAGACAGCTAAAACTACATAAAAATAAAAAATAAAGGATAATGGATTACAATTGCCAAAAACTTGAGATATTAGAATATGCACATATGCGAGCAGCATGAGTGCATAATTGGCCTGCGAACTATTGATCAAAGTATTAATAAGCTATTCTAGCCACCCATTACCGGTTGGCTTTGGAATAGCATCCCCAATAAAATATATTTAGAATATTAACGGCTTCTTATAAATCAGGTCATATCATCCCCAATATCATGTGCCGAATTCACAGCTTGTAATAGCACAAAAGTTACAAATCATGCTTGCTCAAGGAAGTACCATTATATGGAGAATAAATGAGAGGAAACAAAGCAAAATGCCCTAGGAAGTCAAACCGGTAAAATCCAATTAGCTGGTATTACAAGGCGTGACTAAACAATTTATAGGCTTTTTATTACCAAAACAAATGAGCACATCAACCCCTATGGTTCTAAAGAATAACAGGGATGGAATTTTCAGCATACCGCATCTAGATCTATTTGAGCAACCACCAATTCTACATCCTTCATGGAAAATTGGGAACCTTGGGCAACCATATCACCATTCACAACAACGCAAGAACATCCATCTGTGGAACATTAATTTATCAAACAACAGAGCCTGAAAATTCAATTTGTTTTCACGTTTGGAAAAAATAAAATAAGGCCAGACGAAATCTGATAATGCTGAAACTAACTGTTGTAATTGATTCTTTCTAGGTAAATAGATAAAAACAGCATATGTTTCATAAACAGAGTATGTAATATGATAAACAAAATAAGAGCATCCTTCCCACCATAATAAAGGCGGCCACCATCACATCCTTGCTGATTACTATACATGTAAACTCCTCCACGGGTATGTGTAGCACCTATAAAAGCACGAAGGCGAAGATCAAGCTTTCTTAACTGGTGATGACTTCCACTGGCATTCATAAAAACTTCAACACCATTCAATGCAAGCTCAGCATGAGGGGGAATAGGACTAAAAAGTTCCTCGCAAACTTCAGCTGCAACAGCTCTGAGGGGAACACAAATTCTAAGTATTAGAAGATTAGGAAAAAAGGTTATGAGAAAAAAAATTGGGGAATACGTGAATCGAGGCACGTGTATATACAGTCACACATGCCAAAGGCCAAAAAAAAAAAATGCGCAGTAAAATAGAACTGAGAATGAATAAGAAACAAGTTAAAGAATAAAGTAGAACTTCTGGTCTAAATACATGTGGATGCTCACAGCATCTCCATTGATCTTCTCTTCATATTAATTCAATTAGATGACAGAAGGTTAATAATCTGCTAGTTCTACCCCATCAAAAATTGAAAATTTGCAATGGTGAAATTCATACATAGCTACTTAATCCATTCACATTCAATTATTGATCAAACAGCTTTAATATTGAAACTAAATCATGGAAAATGTTATAAGCAAGGGCGCTAGAAATATTATAACGTACGTGTCCAGAAACTGAATATAACCATAGCCAAAAGGCACCGTCAACTGAGATAAAGACTCTGATATTTCGATTGGGAGCAGAAAGTCTTCAAGATGGTCTTTTTGCTTCCAAGCTGTAAACCATCGAAGTTCCCTGTAGTTTCCGTCATTTGCAAGCCACATCTTTGGGCGTATCATCACTATTTTTCTGTTCAAGCACAACACTTGACAATTATAACGCTCTGACCCCTTGATAACAGGCATACCAAAACTACAAAATATGCCATCAGTCCAATCACCAAGCAATAGTTCTTTTAAGCACTCCCACCTGCAAATAATTCACAATGTCTTGAAAAGAAATGGAAAAAAGACGAAACAAAATAACAGTGAAGTAGTATATTTCTAGAAAACCGTAGTAACACCATGCTTTGGAATTATCATTCCCCATTTCAGAAAGGTTGCATTAATCTCAATTTACTTTTTTTATGACCATAGATGTCCGAGCGAGCTTCGCGCACCTCGACTAATCCACGGGGTCCTGAAATTTACAGTCGATTACTCACTTCAATGGTTCTGAGAGGACTCGAACTGGTAATCACTGAGGAGCAAACCCAATGTCTGACCACTGAGCTAAGGGTTGCATTAATCTCAATTTACTAAAGTAACAATACTGTTCATAAAATCATTTAATAATGACAACAATGTTGTCATACTATTATTTATAAAGTAGTTCCCAATTGATGCTAGACGCTCACATATTAGCATAAAGAACAACTATAACTCTATAGACTATAAGCAATTCAGTGTCCATAAACAGATTTTTATAGCAGTCTCATCATTCCACTTTTATTTTTGTAAATAAAATTCAAATTAAACATAATTTGCAATCCTCATTCCACTTTTTAACTATTTTCGAGCTCAATTCTCCATTTTTCTTTTCTGAACAACTCAATTATGTGTTATAAACCGAAATTCGTCCAAGGAAGATAGCATACCTACATTGACACAAAAAATATTCAATCAAATTTGAATGCATGTAAGCATATACTTACGCATGAGTGACGGTATCAAGTTCCAAGAAATGGTCTTCACAGCCATAGCCAGTGATTTCAAGCTCTGGGCCAAGCCGTATCACTGCACCGGCTTTTTTAGCCCTAAAAATGGACTCTTTTATATTCCTCACGTTGCAATCAAAATCCATTGCCCATTGATTCAAATTACACGTGGCAACTTTCAACAACCTCATCTTCAATTCTCAATTCTACTACTCCAAAATTTCAATAACCGAACTAAAATTTCAAAAAACACACGCACACAAAGAGTAGAAATTGAAACACTTGTATATGAATATGTACCGTATAAACCTGGAGCGGAGAACTACGGAATAGTTGGATAACGAATCAAATCCAATAAATGCTAAAGAATATAAATTTATCCTATGTTTATTTTGTATAATTATAGAAAGGTATACAAATGATCAAAATAAGTATTAAATTTCTTATTTCTACAGAAGGAATTGAGATTTCTCGTTGCATAAATGAGATTCAGATTCTGAGAATTTATGGGGAATTTTATGGCCTTGGGATTGGAATTGAATTCATTTCGTTAGGTGGATTCAAATTTTATTTGCTGCTTATATATATAGGCTAATAGACTGGAGCGAATTATAAGCTAAAATGCACCAGCAGAGGGGTTTGGGAAAGCCTTTGACACGTCCGAGAATTAACAAGTTTTGACTTCTATGTTGATTGTTTGATGCGTGAATGAAGGTTTGAGGGAGACGTTCCAGGCTACTATTCAACTCAACTAAGATGCAATTAGTTATTTTCATAGCATTCAAAACGGGATATTGATTTAATAAGTTCGACGATGATTCAAAAAACTTTTAAAGTCAATGAAATTATTGTGCAAAGTTCAATAACTATTTGAATTTTTGACCCCCATCGAGTAGTCCATTAGGGAAGACAGGATTCAAGACTATAATCCCCGTTTTACCTTCAAATTTTGATAAAAGTCCTACAAATTTTGAGCACAGGTGAAAAAGTCATGGCATGGAATTGGGATTAGATTTACGATTTAATTTATTCAAAATTTGATGATGTTGATATATAGAGACTATTTCAAGCGTAACCAGTCAAAATTCATTCAAATGACCGGTTCAATCGGAAATCGGCGAACCGAAAACGGAGTTTTCCGGTCACCTGAAAAAAAGAAAAAAGAAGAATATAAGTTGCAAACGAACCTTTCCTGAATCGCCCAAGTTACCAGAAAATCATCTATCAATTTATGTTTACTAGAAAAAATGAGAAAAGAATAAGCCTTATCATCTATTGGGAAGAAAGAAGGAACCGGGCGCTGCGCTTGTGATTGGTCTGAGACTTCAAAGATGCTTTCTACTTTCTAGGTAACTTACGGTTTAACCTCGGGAAAAAATCGCAAATTATTAAGTGGAAATTACACAATACCATACATTAAAAATTCTACATTCCAAAATCAGATGGAAAGTTTTACTATTCAAAAATCAGAAAACCTTAATTTTTTCACTTATTCTCTCTCTCTCTCTACATTTTTTCTCTAATAAATCAATTAATCCCAAATAATTCATTCTCTCTCGTTTCCCCATTTTTATTTTTTCTCCGGCGACCGATCAATCACTCCGGCGACACTGTGACGATGAAGCCATCACAGTGGAGTGAGTGTCACCTCCAGCAGCCTTTCCTCAGTTTCCATTCTTCTCTCCTTCTCCACCGTCATCTGTTCGGGAACCACCCTCACTAGCGGCGGCAAGGCAACAGTCGTTTGTTAAGTCTTCCTCATCCGGTTGCTAATGTAGATGGCGAGACACTGCGAGCAGCAAGACGGCGACGACGAGTGCTGTTGTCCGAATCTATAGCGGTGCCTCTGTTGGTGGTGGCGGCTAGCAGTGTCAGATCTACTGCTAGTGATGATTGATGGTTCATCTGACAATGAGGTACGATGGTGGGTGTCGAATCTGGGGCAGTGGCCGGTGGTGATTTGTAATATTATCCTAATTAATAATTCAAAAGTTAAACTTTCAGATTTGTGATTTCGATTTCTTGCTTTCTGCAATTCATTTTATTTCTTTATTGCGATGCATTTGTGTTGGGTTGGGGGTGAGTTTGTGTTTTGTTGTTGGGTTATGTTGATTGTGGTTGTGGCAGGGTTATGGTTCACGCAGTGGTGGGTGAAGGTGCTAGCGGTGGTCACAGGTGGTTTTGAGGTGGATTTTGTGGTAGTTTTTGGAGGTGGTTTGGTAGTGGTGACAGTGGTGGTCACGTGTGCGGTGTCAGGTGTGTTGGTGCTGCAACGATCCGTTAAGGTTGTTGCAAAGTCCAAGTCTGGTTGTGTGATGACATTATTTTGGTTGATTTTTGCGTTTGTGTGTTGTGTGGTTGTCGTGGTTGGCAATGTGGTGATATTTTTTTATGACGGTGGTGGCGACGGTCTGTGACCAACCATTTAGTTATTCATGACCAATTAATTAATTGTAATCTAAATATTCAATAATTTGTGAACAATTAATTTGAAAATTTATCACATACAAATAAACTGTGACTTGATTTGTGATCGATGAATTAATTGTGACCAATTAATTTGATAATTTGCAATGAATAAATGAGCTGTGACCAATAAAAGTTGATTCCGTGATCAATGAATAATCTGTGATCTATAAAAAAAAATTATTCGTGACCCAAAAATAATATGTGACATATAAAATTTTTTATTTGTGACCGAAAAAAAGTTGTGACCAATAAATTGATAAGTTGTGACTAAAAATTAATCGTGACCAATTAATCTAATAATTTGAAACGAATATATGAGTTGTGACCAATTAAAGTTTTGATTTTGTGACTAATGAATAATTTGTGATCTATAAAAAATTTTATTCGTGACCGAAAAATAATGTGACCTATAAAATTTTTGATTTGCGACCAAAAAATAAGTTGTGACTAATAAATTGATAAGTTGTGACTAGAAATTAATCCGTGACTAATTAATTTTTTGATTTATGACCGATGAACAAATTGTGACCTTCAAAAATTTTGAATTGTGATCGTAAAATAATTTGTGACATAAAATTTTTGATTTGTGACCAAAATTAATAAATTAGTAATTAAATTGTTAATTCATGACCAAATTGTATAGATCCGTGACCTAAATATATTAAATTAATAAAATAATTCAATCATAAATAAATTTAAATAAAAATCTGATTTTTGAATTATGAAACTTATTTTCTTAATTTTGAAATATACCATACTTAATTTCTAACTTATGAAATTTTCCTAATTATTAACCTATGGCCTTCATTGGCCCATTTAGTCTATGAAATCATTAATAACAAATTTCAAAAATTAAATAACTCTTAAATTTAATATATTTTTAAAGTATATATCTACATATAGTAATTTATTTTTAAATAGTACACATATATGCAATATTTTATTTTAATTAATTTAATTTCCAGGTTGACCCCGGTTCAATCACGATTCGAAACTTTAGCCCTTGACCTTTTTTTTCTCCGGGTCGATGGGCGGTTCGAGTTTTAAAACATTGAGTAAAACACACACACAAAAGTACATGTATAGCTATGTCTAAAAATACATAGATTTACGTTCAATAATTGTTTTAAATTTGTTTTGTTGACCCAAAAAATGCGCCAATAAAATCCCGACCTCATCCCCTCCATGTGGACATCACCTGCACACTGAGCATCTCGTTAGGAAGCAAAGTCCATCGGTCCAAAAAAAAGTCCGACGACCGTTTAAACTTCGACTATCAAGTCAACAGCCAAACGAGGAAAAAAGAATGTGTCAGAGAGTTAGAGGGGATTTGGATCGGGTTAAAGAACATACCTTAACATGAAATGGATTCATGTATATATATATATATATATATATATATATATATATATATATATAGAAAAATGAATGGGCCAAGTGTGCTAATGGGCCGAGTCCAGGCCCAATGGGAGGGCCCGGTATGAGATAATTTTATAGGTCTAACAATAGTCCCCAAGTCTGAATCGTACATTCATGTCCAGGTCGGATTTCGAAATATAAACTTTTGAAGACGATGCCACATCGTCCAATATGGAACCCCCTCTGTTCATCAAAGAGTTGTGTTGAATGGCACCAAAAATTCTTGCTTCCGGTAATGTAGGCCTATTTTCATATAGGTAAAATGTGTTGTACATGGCTGGTGATATATGAAGCAAAATAAAATGCTACATAAATTTTATAGAAGTGGATTAGAAACTTGTTAATGAAATATGAATCAATCACATCTTATGATTCTTATCAACGAATGCTAAGCCTTAAAATTCCAAATTTCATGTTAGAACAAAGGGAATTTTGAAGAATGTACATAAAAACAACTTTTAAGATAAATACTATCAATTAGTACCATATTAAAAGTAATTATAAGGAAATGATTTTCGTTGTAGTTGAGGATAAAATTGAAAAACACTGTCAGAAGCGGGATATGAACCCACGCCCACCACCACTCTCGGCTATACTGACTTCATGGTGGGTTGTGTTTTCATCTTTCTATTAAATATATATATTTTTTGGAAGACTATGCCTAGTCAATAATTAAGTTAAAATATCAAAATATGGCCCGTTTGATTCCTACTAATCCAAAAATGAGAATGAAAAATATAGTCGTTACGGGCCCCACACAATAGATTGAAAGTCAAATGTGGTAATTTGATGTGATGGGTAACGATCATATTTTTCATTTTGTCGCCAAAGAATGAGAATCAAACGAAGGCTATATTGCAAAGTTGATCAACTCCAGAGTCCCTTATTTTCAACTCCAAATTATAAAGGGAAATGTCATTTGTACATTCAACTCACGTATACATCATGCTTGACATCCTTTTTGTGTTTAAAAAAATTGATGTAGGAAAAACCCTTTTTTTTTTTTTTTTTTTTTTTTGAAATTGTCAAATGACACTGTCAAACTTGGTGAACATTCATTATAAAATGATCTTTTAGGATGAAACAATCTTGATAAGTGAGCAAATTAAGCCGCCGTTTGGCCCCATTATTTCAAATTTTAATGGGTGAAATAATAATTTTTTAGAAAATGTATGGTTGAAAAAAAAAAGGTTTTCGATTTATGTATAATATTATTTTATGAAAGATTTTGTGATTGAAAAAAATGAAAGAGAAAAATAAAAATTAATTTAATGGGGGGCCAAATGGGGGCTAAGTGCACGAGGCATTTTCTTCGATAGACTTGAGAGTAACTATAACTCAATCATCTTAGTTCTCGTAGTTGACTTATCTGTTAGTTCGTTTTATTTTACAATTGATAAAATGTACAATCAATTGTAGAAAATGTTGAAATTTTATAGAATTGTCCACACGATTCTATAATTATTTAGAAGCTGAAAAATATAAAAGTAGGGGAGAAAAATAACATAAGAATTTACATGAGAAATTCTAAAAATCGGAGAAAAACCAGTGGTTATCAATGACAAAGATCTTCAAATATATGAAAAATCTGTACAATTAAATGAAGTTTTCTCCACACACTCAAAATTTCTAAGCTCACCCCCAAAATATTAATACTGTATTAGACTACTCCCAAATCTTAGCCAATACTGTCCACAACTATTTTAAATCGACGCTTGGGGAAAGAATCGTTTTATAGAGATGCCAAAAAAGAGTCTCTTAATTTATAGTCAATGTGGGATTTGTTGGTTCCGAGCTTATATGTAAGTGG